TAAATGTACATATGAAATATATGTCAGAAGTGTGTTTATCATTCTCAATTACTGATAAATATGAACATACATATGTATCGTTTTATTTAAAATTTAATTTATGAATGGCATTGTTTCACGCTGCGTATACGCGATTTGAAAGCTACAATTTTCATAAAGAATACAAATACATTGGATGTTTAATTTTTTTTCTGTTTTCTGCATTTCGTTATCGTATTTAAGGAAGGAAAAACTAATAGCAAACGTTTTTAGTAAGCAGCTAATTATTATTTCCAAACTGTATCGAAAAAAATTCTCTTATAATTATTCATATTCATTAACATTTCACTTTTTGGCAAGACTTAAGTACATTACATGGAAAATCTTTTTCATTCATATGTTGATACTTTCAGAGATTCAATGTGCCAAAAATAGCACTTCAATCTTGCATTTCTTTTATTCATCGCAGCTATTTTCAACCTGTTCAATTTAGCCATAAAAAGTGTTTAGATTCAGCAGCTGCTTTGCCTGAAGCAGACATGATAAAAGTGGACTGCAGTTCGATAATACATACAACCATAAAGAGAACGCATTATGAATACTGGTACTATTTATTTTATTTAAAATACATTTTTCACAGTTGCATCAAGTAAACAATTTTCGGGAACGTACAAAATGAAGTATAGAGCGAACTGTCCAAATTTGCATAAGAATATTCCGCATACAAATTGATGCAAGGAGGCACAAAAGATAATTTGCGTGGGCAACTGAGAAAAACAATTAAAATTTACTACAAAATGCAAATGCAATTGGCTAGGTGAGAAAATGTTCACAAAGGTGTGTGTGTGTGTGTATGTGTGTTAGCATATGTTTGTGTATATTTAATATATATGTTATTGAAGAGCGTCCACTGAGCACAGTCTGAAAAATTGAGTAAATAAACATATTTCCAACAGCTGTCTGCGTTTGTGGTTTGTTTGTAAGTCTAAAGCTATGCAATGCTCAGGCCTGCTGCTCCTCGCTGCCCGAGGCAGAGGTGTGCCAGACGTGGCCCATTTCGAGTGCCTGCAATTTCAGCATCTCCTTCTGGCTGTCCTTGGCCTGCAGCAGGAAAACGCTTTGCTGCAAGTGAATGGAAATTAGCCAAGAATATTTATATAGCTGAGAGGCAATCCTGGTACTCACTTTGACCTCCTTGGTGGTCAGCACATCCATTTTGTCATAGATGATGGCATGCAGACCCAATTCCTTGAGCAGCTTGATTGTGTCTTTGGAATTGTTGTCATCGCCCCAGCAGAAGAGCACCAGTCCACGCTCCTTTGCCAGATTTACCTAGAACGCCCGTTTTGGTAAAAGTCCAAAAAAGTCCAAAGCTGCTCGGTGGCAGATCATTTTACCTGGCTGGGATCACGCAATAAGTCCTCCGTATGTGCCACAATGCCTAACAGCTCCATGGCCACCGCATGCCACACGGCCGTCTCCATTGCATTGCCACGTGGATCCATATACTTCTGGTACTTGGTCGTATGGCCCAGGGTGAGGAACATGACCGGATAACGATTCTGTTTGTAGCGCAGCATCGTGCATATGTCCGGATCAAAGCAGCTAAACACGATACGTCTGCTGCCCGCCTTGCGCAGCACCACATCCAAAATGCAATCGATATAGAGATTACGATCGACGACATGCTCAAACTCCTCCTCCATGCGACCGTCCTGCAGGCGCTGCGACCATTTGATCTCTATATTAAAGCCGATGTGCTCATCCAGGGCTTCCAGCACATCGGCCAGCTGAGGAAACGGCTGATGCTCCAGCAGATCGTCATTGTGAAAGGAGCGCGTCTCACGGGACAGCCCCTCCGCCGTGTGATACACCTTCAGCTTCTTCAGCTGCTCCAGGGTCAGCTCACGCATGGGCAGTGACAGAAAGTCGTGCTCCTGCATGCTGCACTTGCTCTTCAGCGACACATAGATCATGAAGTCATGATAGACAACCGGCACGAGATCCTTGCTCAATTGCACATCAAACTCAACCATGTCTGCGCCATGCTCGGCAGCGTTCTTCAGCGAGGTGATTGTATTCTCTCTGATCACAGCGTCCATCGCCTGGAAAGATGATGAGTTGAGTAACTATAACTGTAAGAGTTGCTGATGAAATTATACTCAATTAACACTTCCAATGCAATGTGATGAACAAATATTATTAATGAGATTTATAAAGCAGAATTGCGTTAACTTCTCCCTACCTAGGTCAAAAATCTCAGTAATATGCTAAAATTACTGGAGGCTTGAAAATGCATTGATAATTTATAAACATTCTATACGTTTGCTCGCCTCGTTAGAAATTGAGGTGGCCAAACAATATTAAATAAGTTCAACAATAACATAAATTCTACACATCTAAAAGTATTCTCCCAAGTGCAAATTTCGATCATGTATGTATGTAATTCATAAACAAGACTGTCTCGAATTATATCGAATTATTAGGAATCCAATGTTTATGTAAATGAATTTTTGCTTTGTAAGCTGATTTGTGGAGTTAAGGGAATATTAAATATCATCTATGTAAACTTGAAGCTAAGCTATAATATTTTTCATTAAATGTTTATATTCATATTATTTTCTTGCTAAGAATCCAGTTCCAGACATATCTGTTTGTAAGTACTAGACATATCAATTGACCACCATAGAAAAAACTCGAACTTTTGACAGTTCTGTAGCCTTCATCATATATACAACTAATTCCCTGTCGTCAAAAGAGTTCACTTGGAACCTGTTCAACACTAATCTCAAAATTTCAATTTTGTTATCGGCAAACTGGTTTCTTGAATAATGTAATATGTTCAAAAGAGCTTAGGTTCATCATATTGTATCTAAGTATGGCTGTCTAACCTACTATAAAAAGAGCTCGTTTTTAAAAAATCTTTGTTTTGAAGTCAACATCAATGCCGTATACCTAAGAGCATGTCAGACCTACCTTAAAGCTGGTGCCCGATCCACGATGTCCCACATCCAGGCCGGTCCACTTATTGTTCCAGTAGCGTGTATAGCTCACGCGCATGTCCATGTGAGCGCTGTAGGACGAGGGCTTGACTATCAAATAGCCTAGTTTCATCATGCCCAGAGGCCGGTGGGTCTTGGCACAGGTAATAGGTAGCTCCAGATTGCCTTCGGAGCGCTTAAAAAGATTTGGTAGCACATAATGATAGCCCAGGTGATGCGGCGGGCCATCTTCCCTCTCCACCTTCGATTTGTAGCTATACAGATCCACCAGATAGGCCACATTGTCCAGATCGGCCACCGTCAGATGAAAGATGACCAAGTCTGTGGCACTGCACGCGGTGCCGAATTGCTCCTGGGTGCGCACCTCGCAGCTGTCGGCGCTGAGGGTGACCACCTCACTGAAGGCGAAGGCTGTGCTGTCGCCGCCATTCTCGCGCGTGTCATGTGTGTCGTTCGATAGCGAATCCTCGAGCGTGCTGACGGGCGCCATCTCGGCGCAGCCTGTGGTGGGGATGCGCAGATTCATGGGCGTCACTTTGACGTGCACCAGACGCCGCTTCATGCGCTGTTTCCAGGTGAACGGCGCATAGAAGAACTTCAGCTGCACCAGCGACTCTTTGGTTAGCCAGCCGCGATCCACTTTCTCCTGGCCATTGACACAGCCAAATGTTTCCTGGCACTCAGGCGGCTGCTCATCCAATTCCTTAATGCAACGCGGCTCCAGCTGCACTTCCCAGCGACGCACCAGCAGTTGCTCCGACGCGGCATCTACACCAAACACCACATAGCGATACTGAGTGTCACAGTGACGTGGTATATACACCTGAGCTGTCCAGACATGACCATCCTCATCCTCATCTTGCGATTCCTCGCGAGTCATTAACGCTGCTCCAGTATGCTTCCAATTGCCCAGTGCCTCGCAGCTGCCCACAATTCCGAGCTGCTCGTGGGCGGAAAGCCTCTCGTTCACCCTGACACGAAATGTCCACAGCCGATTAGTGCTAATGTCGCCGAAAATACGCTGCGCAGTGGGTACTGTCTCGGCCACTGGGCATACAGAAGGTGCGGCCATGGCATCCTCCTCGCAATCGTACGAAGGCTTCCAGCGCTCCATTGCCTAATAATTGATTGTCTCTTTGAAGCAAAAACAAAAAAAAACTTTCACCTCAGCAAATCTCGAAATTCTTGAATTTGGTTTATTCACCGAGGCTAGGACAGAGCAAAGTTCTTTAATGGCTGATGTTGTTGCTGTGGGTGTTGTTATTGTTGCTGTTGGCGACTTTAAAGTTCCAAGCACATTTCGACATTTGAGATATGCTCAAACAAAGAAGACGAAGCCCCCTGGTCCGATTGGCCGCTATAGAGCTACAAATTGTTTTTGTGTGTTTTATTGCTGCAATCAACGAGCAGCTGTTTTTCTTATATATTATGAACGCATGTCTGTCGGCCTCTGAGATATTGTGTGCTACGTATGTATGCTCCACTTTTCTATAATTATTGTATATGTGTATGTATCGAGTTTATCGCGAATTAACGTTGTTAGCACTCAAACTGAGACTGAAAGTTTGCAATGTATAAAATTGGAGCTGGTCGCAAGTAGTATTTGTTATGAAGGTTACCATTGAGACTTTCAGTGTGTTGACATCTAGCAGAGTCAGTGACGTCATCCGGTAAGAGAGTCAAATGATACTATCGTATCATCTTAAAATTGTATTTTTAAAGTCATGAACTTCATTTAACATTAAAACTGTTATTACATACAAATAATTATACATTAATAGCCTGCATGAAGCAATTAAACCCTTCATCGTGACGTCACATTTACTGTCTAATGCCGCTCAATACCTCTCACATTTTCATTCCATATACTGCCATTTTGAGTAGAGTTGCCAGACTGCTTCGTGAGTCTTATAGCGGCCAGCTATAAAATCATCACTTCATTTGTTTTGGCGGGAACTTTACACACTTGTTTATTGTTTATCTTTCGCTGCTCGTTGTTATTATTTTACTCATCTTAAAATGGATCAATATCCTGATGAGAATGAAGAGTTTGAGCTGCAGTACCAGGATGAAATGGAACTGCTCGAAGACATGCCGCACGAGTATGACGCTGTCGACAACGGGCCGAGCACATCTCGTCAGGCAGCAGCTGCGCTCGAGCAACAACAACAAAAAGCAAACACAACTGTTGCGGGCTTCAAAGATGTCTCTCGCTTTAGCGACTCCACGCTGAACTCTCCACAGCTGTCACAGATCACATTTGGCGCCAGACAAAGTGACTCGGCTGGCGGTGGACCCGTCAATCGGCGTCTATTTGGTACGCCCAGGGGGCCGGCAGTGGGACGCGGCTGTTCGACACCAATGCAGCGCATGCCGCCTATAGAGGAAGTGCTGACTCCGACTGTCGACAGGACAGCGCCGCTGCTAAACGCCGCCGCAGAGCAACTGCAAGAACTGGGCCTAAAAGCCAACAACAAGCGCCGGCTGGAACGAGATCTCTTCGGCGACATTGACGATCTGTACCACGAGAGCTACGAAGATCCCATGGTGAAGAAGGCGCGCACCGAGGAGCAACGCGACAACGAAGCCATCGAGCGCATACTTGAGCTGAGACGTAAGATGCGAGAGTCCAGCAAAACGGTGCGCCAGGATGAGGTTTCACGTTTGCGTGCGCTGCACGACTTCAAAATGAAGAATCTCTCATACGAGATACCCACCTGGCCATTTATGGCGCTGCAGCGCAGCGACCTGGAGCGCCTCTATGTGCGCTTCCACTCGGAAGAGTACGAGCAGCGGCAACTGGAGATGCTCAGCGCAAGGGACAACCTGACAGGCAGCCTACTGGGCGAGGCCAAGCAACAGGTCTGGCAAGAGGCCAACGAGCTGGTGAGTAAGACAAAGCCAGGGAGGAAATAGTCACTTATCAAGCTTGCATTCCAGGTGCTGCGACGTATGGCTCCACCAACACAGCTCGTCAATCCCGAGCCAGTTGCTCCCAGCGTCGACACTGGACGGCTGTGGGTGGACAAGTACAAGCCGCGGAAATATATCGATCTGCTCTCGGATGAGATGACCAATCGCAGTCTGCTCTATTGGCTGAAGATGTGGGACAAGGTCGTCTTCGGCAAGGTCTTTCACAGCAAGCAGGAACAGCAGACAGCCAACACTGGAGTGGCAGCCAGCCAGCAGCTGAACAGCTTCAACAAGCGAACTGGCAAATTCGAATCGAACGGCGGCTGGCGACAGCGCAAAGCGCGCCAAGCGCTTAACACCAATGTGGATGAGCTGGGCAGACCCATGCAAAAGGTGGCACTGCTCTGCGGCCCACCCGGTCTGGGCAAGACCACACTGGCTCACACAATTGCCCGGCATGCTGGCTACAATGTGCGCGAAATAAATGCCTCCGATGATCGCAGTCCCGAGGCCTTCAAGTTGGCTCTGGAGAACGGCACACAAATGTCGTCGGTGCTGAACGAGGACAAGCGACCCAACTGCATTGTGCTGGGTAAGAATAGGCTGCTTCTGTGACCAAATCAATTTGTCATCCAAATCTCTATGCAGATGAAATTGACGGCGCACCGCGTCAGTCCATTGAGTATCTGGTGAAATTCGTCAGCGATGGCATCTTCAGCAAGGCCAAGTCCAAAGGCGCCAAGGCGGAGCACAATGTGCTGCGTCGACCCATCATCTGCATTTGCAACGACATCTACGATCCCGCCCTGCGACCACTGCGTCAAATTGCATTCGTAGTCAGCTTTCCGCCCATCGATGCTGCGCGTCTGGCCGAGCGGTAGGCGGTGAAGGTTACTCAAATGATTGCCCAAATTAAATTGAATTTTCTTTCCGATTCGCAGACTGCTACAAATCGCGCACAAGGAGCACTTGAAAACAGACTTTGGCGCACTCATCGCATTGGCTGAGAAATCGGGCAACGATGTGCGCAGCTGCATCTCAACCATGCAGTTCTTCAAGTAAGTTAAGAGGGAATAAAGGGAACTGAGGTAGAGAAGTGGTAGCAAGACTTTATCGATAAAGTGTGCAATAGAGAAAACATATAAGTATCTGATCAAGAGAGCTTAGATTGAAGAAGGAAAGCGGCATTCTGGATAGAGAGATTAGACAATATATAAATACAGCTGGTTGATGAAAAGAATTGAGAAGGGTACGTGGGGTAAGCCATTTATTGAGACAGTTGTGTAAAGTAGGTTATTATTATTATTATTAATATTTGAATCCACTAATTCATATTAATAATTCAAACATTTTGCAGCGCCCAAAAGCATTGCCTAACGCTTCAGGATGTGCTCAACAACAATCTGGGTCAGAAGGATCGGCATCAAGGTCTGTTCGATGTATGGGGCGCTATCTTTAGGGTGAGTTTAAAAACCTTCTATATTTATACTAAATTATACTTTTAGTTTAAATACTTATATATTAGTTTATACATGAATGGTTCATGATTCACTGGGTAGTACAAGAGAAGACGAATCTGCATTCATCTGCTTAACTCTCATCTCTCACATATACATATTGATATCGCTTAGGCTAGTCAATTTCAACTCAGTTGCGTATTTTCTTCGACACCCAGCTAACAGCTTAAATACTTAATGAGAACCCACAATAATCTCTAACTCAAATACATTCAAATTCAATATTTAATATTTTTATTCCTTAATTCCGCTTAAGGCTAGTCTAAGAGACATTCTTGCATACCCAGTTATGCTATATACGAAGCAACCATAAATAAAATAATATATGTATTCCTCTTTCACTCGCAGATTCAACGGCCAAAGAAGCAGTTGCAACAAAGCAGCTCGAACAATGCTGAGGAAGCTGCTCAGGTGACCATGACGAACATGTCCGTGGCGACGCGAGTGCGCAATGTGCTCGATGTGGTGCACTCCAGCGGGGATTACGAAAGGTGCGCAGACAGAAAGAACAGAAAGCAAACAAAATCAAAATCAAAATCATTTGAAATTCTTTTAGGCTCACTCAAGGCGTCTATGAGAACTATTTGCAGCAAAGGATGCCAGATCCGAATTTTACGGGCATCTGCGAGGCGCTGCAATGGTTTTGCTTCTCGGACGCGCTGCAGCATCAAATCGCACGGCAGCAGAACTACAGCATCTATCCATATTTGCAGTACGGTTTTGTGGTCTGGCATTTGCTCTTTGCCACACTCGCCTGGCCGAAAATTGCATTTCCCACGCGTGGCTTTGAGGTAGGCAAACGTTGATGGCCGGCGCTGGGCCTCGGGTCACATCATTTCTTTTCATTTTGGCATGTAAGCATGTGGACTCTTTGAGGCTGGCTCATGTATTATGCAATCCTCATTAGCTGGGGCAAACAAGCCTGGCGAGGGCCACAGAAAAGTGCATAATCAACACAATCAAGCCTTGTAATTTCTTGTGCATTATGTGCCTCAAATGCAATCACAAGATTAATGAGAGTTCTGCATAGATTTCGCACTGTTTACACTAGCCCCCATTCACTTGCTCTCCCAGACTTTTTATCGCTCTCTCTCTCTCTCTCTCTCTCTCTCTCTACCTCTTTTCAGTTCAATCAAAAGTCCACGAACCAGCGCAACATCTTTCAATCGCTGCGCAAAGGCATCACCACATCAGCTCAGGGCGTGGGCCAAGGCAACATTCTGCTGCTGGACACGGTGCCGCTGCTGAAGCGCATTCTCTCGCCACAGCTGCGCTCCGTGGCTGTTCAACTGTTGTCCCAAAAGTGAGTATGTGCTGGGAGGAGCCAACAAATATATTTAGTGATAGCTTCAGAGAACATATCGAGAGAGTCGTTTGAAGTTGTGGAACTTTATTTGAGTAGTACGAGCATCGAGCACGTTGTCTGAGTAGATTACCAAAGCATAACAAGAATTATACAAGACAGTCAGTATGTAGAAAATTATATGGAAAGCTAGTCAATTCGTTAGATTTAAAAAGTTAATTTATAATCCAAGAGGAGCCAAATTTTAAGGAAAGAAGAACTGTGTGAGGACTGACGACGATCTCGCGAGATTTTCTGCTCTTTAATTAAGTAGAACATGTTCTCTTTTATTACCATTTCATGTACTTTAAACTGCTAAAGCAAACTTATTTGGCTCACCTCAACTAAAATTCAAATTACATACCCAGAACAACTCTTATATAATATTTTCCCCCCAGAGAACAATACGATCTGCGCCACACGATCCAAGTGATGGTTGATCTTGGGCTGACCTTCGTCCAAGTCAAATCGGCGGAGGGCCATTACGTGTTTCAAACCGAACCGGACTTGGATACGCTGTGTAGCTTTCCAGGTGAAGTCATTGGCACAGCTGTGCTTAGCCGCATTATCAATGCATTAATGTGGTGTGTGTATTATAGGTTTTCCCGGACTGACGTTGCCCTACTTCAGTCGCCAGTTGATAGCACGCGAAGTGGATCTGGAGCGCATACGGCGCGCCGCGCCCAAAGGTGGTTCAGCGGACAATGCAACAAAGAGCGCAGCAGCTGGAGCAGCTGGGGCAACGGGAGCGCCTGGCTCGAAGCAGAAGGCGATTGCAGCGCGTCTGCCGAATCATTTGCAAACATTGAAGCCAAAGCAAATAAGCGACTTCAATGCGCCGCCCAAGCAGCAGGTGAGCCGTGGCTGCTTTTCACATATTTCGGGCAATTTGCATGCCTTGCATTTACTTAGCAGCAATTCTGTTGCAAATTTTCTCGTGGCGCAGCTTATTGAAATTTAACTCTACCCAAATTGCCACAACCACTCATCCGCAAATCCGGCTTCGACTTAGGGTCCCTCCGTCGCGCTGCTGCCGCCGCAAATCCTGTAAAAGCTAATAACCCATAAGGGGATTCGGCTGCCCATTGTCTTCGGGGTCGTAATGTGGGATCAGCGCAAACGAACATTTATTGCCAATCCTAAACGAAAGCGACTGCCAGCAACAACAACAACAACAACAGCAACAGCAACAAAATGTCCTTTCATTGGGGTTGTGCATTTGTTTAGGGGTTGCTTTACGCCAATTCACTTCATTTCTCTCACTTAGAGCTTGAAGCTTTTCTTTCTGATTATATGGCAAATTTCATTTCATTTTTGCATACACTTTGTTTCTCTTACATTCTTATTATTTAATTATGAATTTCTTGTATTTTTCAACAGCTTACGAAAGACTTCTTTGGCCGCGTCACGCACAAGACAACAGCAGCAGCGGCAGCCGAGGAAGGTAGGCTAATGGCTTTTGTAGCTCCAGCATTAATTGCACATTAATAATTATATATTCAAATATTGTTTTACAGCTAAAACTGATGCTATTGTTAAGAGTCCCATATGGTATCGCTATAAGGAGGGCTTCAACAATGCTGTGCGAAAAGATGTGCATCTAAATGAATTGCTTTAAGCAGTTGATTATTGTTACACTTGCTATTATAAATATATTTATTAATTAGCTGATAATGCGTGTGTTGTCTTAATAACATTTCACTTTGTGCCTTGATCAGCTAAATTGTAATGATCAATACAGGCGCATAATATTTACAGCTATGAAATTACTGAAAGACAGAACGAGATATATCAATCAAAATTCATGCTAAATTATAACAAATAATCGTGACATAGCAGATCTTTCACTTGACGATTCTCAAAGCACTTTCACTCACCATTCACAATGCGCTTTCAGCCACGCTCTATAAGTGGGTCCAGAGATCTTTGACATCCATCCATTGGGGCACACAATCTGGAGTCACACACGTCCCCTTTTGGCATAGAACTGTCGCATGGCACTGCTTATCGCGCTCCGTGGGCTATCGGCAGCTATCAGTGTATGTGTGTGTGTGTGTGTGTGTGTGTGAGGTGTTGCCGCTGTCAAGCTTGGCGTTGCTCTGGCAACACTTACTCACTCAGTGGCTTGCTCAGTTGTCAGCGGGTGGCTCTGCGCTATATACTATCAGCGAGATGACGATGATGAAGCCTTTGTTGTTGCTGCTGCTGCTCGGCTTGCTGGGATTTGCTGAGATTGAGGCACGCTATGTGCCCGGCATACCAAGTGAGTAGATGGTAGAGAGAGAGAGAGAGAGAGACAGAGAGAGAGCAGAAGTGCATCCACTAATTGCTTTTGTATTTGCTGCAGACATTTGCATGAAGCCGCCGCCCTTCTCTGAGGGCATGTGCACCATTGAGATCGAGGGCTTCTACTACGATCCAGCCACGCTCGACTGCCAGATGTACTCGATTGGGGCTTGCCGTCTGACTCCCGGCCAGAGCTTCGGCAGCCTGGAGGACTGCGTGGCGACCTGTGTGCTGGGCAAGCGTCGCAGTCCCGATTACTATAGGAATGAATGAGATGTTGGAGACAAGTAAAGCGCATTATAATAAACCTCTCTCTGCTATAAAAACAAACTGCGTCTGATTTTAATCGAGACCCGGTGTTAATCACCGCCCTGACCCGTGACGTAATTGTTTATTTCCAATGAGCATCTGAAACGTGCTTGACTTTGTCTTCTTGTGGCATGTTCCAAGCGGCAGCAGCCTAATTAATTGCCTTACTTAGTTGAGGCTCGAGCCATGCTTGCGTCAGCTCTTAGTGCGCTAACCCGAATGGGGGTATTGCAGTTTCATCGTCTAAATGGCTGCGAATCGAGAGATTACTCCACTTAAAACTAGACTTGTATATTTGAAATGTGGGTTAAAATATAGCGTGATTATAAGAGTTTATATAGTTTCTTATTAATAATATCAGTGAATTTTTAAACCTGCTTTTACTATAGTTAAGAATGCAATTGAAAATCGCATTTCATGTTTTATGAAAACAATAGTCAATATATATTTTCAACTTTTTATAGATAAAAATATATCAATGTATTAAAAAGAAAACAGATATAAAAAAATATTCAAAAATCATTTAATTATTGATTTGAATTTTCTAGAACTTTAAGTATGTTAAAAACATATTCAAGGAATCAAAATAACAGTAATCAGAAAATATTTTACATGCATAAATATATTTTATATTTATTTATATTTTTAAAAATTTGTCTTTTCATTTCAAGCAAAATTCTTAAAAATATATATATTTGTTTTTAAATAAATGAAATATATTTAAATATAAAAAAAAAAAAAATAGATTTTTAAGAATTTGGTTTCAAATGAATATACATATATATTGTAAAACATGTGTTAAAAATTTTTATACATTTGTATATCCTAAAAATGCCATTATATTTGGCTGCAAATTGAGTTCTCATAATTCTTCCTTTATAGGAGCATAATCAATTATTCCCTGTTAAGGTTGAAGCGTATTATTTCAGAGTAAGCGTAGTCACGCTTCGTTGTTAGTCAGCCCTGGCCCTGGATAGTGGAACGGCCTTCTGCAACAGGTGCTCGCCGGTTTCAGCTGGAATCCTAACCGCCAAGCAGCGGTCCCCAGACTTGGATCCAGCTCTCGCACACTCGCCAGCTCCATGCATATTATCAACAACGCACATGCAGGCAGCGAGACATCGCAGACTCAGTCACATGGTTGTTGTTGTTGTTGTTGGTGTTGTTGTAGTGCTGTTATCAGTCAACGGCAGCGTCAGCAGCGGCTATTGGCAGAGCGCAACCAGATTAGGAATCTGTTCGCCTTTTGTTCGAGGTTTCGAGTCGAGTTTGCGACATCAGCAAAGCAATAGCTCAGCTAGCGATCAAATGTGGCGCAAGACCCATTTGAATATACATAGCCAAACATTGTGAATGAATCCAGAGAATCGTTCCATATAGCTAAAAGGTGACCGGAACAAGTCGTATAAACGTTAATCTGCAACTGTGCTTCTCTTTGTGCCTGTGCGTGAGTGTGTAGAATTTTCGGCTGAATTTTCGGTTGTTTCTGTGTGCTGTGCGCTGAACTTGTCGCTGTCGCGTATTAAAAAACTCATAAATTGCACAAGAAGACGAGAAGGCATATCAATAGGTCGTCGTATACTATACAACTGCTGCGCTTCAATATATGGCGAAAGGCAGCTGCCTCTGCTGCGCATTTGACTACAACTTTGTCGCAGCGACAGTCGACAGGGAATCTATGGAAATACAGATGATAACTGTGCCAGCCGCACTACAGAGCTGAATTCGCCAGGAGCTAAGCACACGAAATATATCTCAAATATTGTTCCTGAAATCGATTCAGCTCAGCAAAATGAACGCCTCGACGAGGAGCAGACAAATCTGGCTGCTATTGCTGCTGCTGGCCGTGTGCCTCGAGTGGCAGATGGTTGTGGCGCGCACACGTAAGTCTCAGTTCACTCGCTCTTATGTCTCTATGTCTCACTTGAGTTTATCGCGCAGGTGATTTGTGCCAGGTGAAGCCCACCACGAGCAGCCTGTGCGTGCCCACCACGGTGGGCATCTACTTTGATGTAGAGACGCAGCGCTGCCACTTCATGGGCTGCAGCAACAAGCGACTCTTCGGCTCGCTGGAGGACTGCGAGAAGATCTGCAATAATGCGCGACACGTGAAGCTGCGCATTAACTCGGCCAACAAAAGCAATCAAACCACAAATTGAATATAAGCTCTAGCAATAGCACTAGCACTAGCTCTAGTTCTTATTAACATCAATCATCGTCATCAGTCTACAACAACAACAACAGCAACAATCGATCCCCATTCGGCCAACAGCTATCAGACATCACGACAGGCATACTCGCAGGCGGCCTTGCTGTCGAATCGGTTCTCGTTGCCGCCGCAGCCGCCGTAGATGAAGGCCTCGCAGCGCCGCTCGAGCGGATTGTAGGCGTAGCTCTCCACATAGCCAAAGCAACGGCCGCTGACCATGGGCTGGAGGCACAGCTTGACTGCAACAGGTTCCACATTAGTTGCCAATTAATGGATGGCCACCTATTTTAGCCTTACCACGTTTCGAGGCGCCATCGACGTCACCCAGTTGCAGCAGCAGCACCGGGATCAGCAGCAACAGCAGCCGGAGCAGCTGCCGTAGCCAAGACATTGCGTACAACCGACTCGTTCTTGGGTTAACAACTCACTAAGCGCGCTTCGACAATTGTTTGTTGTTTCTTCTTTCTTTTTTTTTTCAAATATATCTTTTGCCTAGGCAAGATTCAGCGTTGACCAATTTAGGTGCCAGGTCGGTCATAGCCACAGCCAACTCTCCTACTCCAAAGGAGATTCGAAGTGTGCTTTTTGAGCATCCCAATCATTGTTTGCTCCAGCATTAGCTTAGATCATCTATTTATTTTATACACTACGATTAGATTAAATTTTATATTGATGTATATAGTATATAAGGTTCACAAGTTCTACTTTGTTGCCATATTGGCTTATAATATTAAATATCATGTATATAGCAGGTGATCAGTCTTTTCTTTGAAATATTTTCAAAAACATTATTGGTCCTTCAGGGGATTAGATTCAACTAGCTTTAAGTTAATGTTTATTGCTATACAATTATTTTTGTAAATATTATGTATCGGAGTTTCCTATTTACAATTGTTTGCATTGGTTTGCCTTAAGTTCAAAAAATCATAATGTTGCATTTATAACATTTATATAATCTGAATGCTATAACTATTATGTGGAATAATAATCTGGAAATACTATTTCAACTTTGACTGGATTGCGTATAGAGTCGTCTCACAATAATTCAGATTAAAATAAAAGCCAAGTCTTACAGCAGAAATATATACAATATATATAACAAAATGTACAAGTGTTTTGCTTGTGTAAAAAATAAAAGAAAACTGAAAAAAAAAAAAAAATAAATTTAAAATATAATATGATAACTACTAATTATACTAAAACAGAATACTTATAAAATTAAATATAAATTAAATTACATTTATATTTTAAATATTTTTTTAAACAAATCATTAAAAATCAGTAAAGCTTAAAAATATATATGTAACTTTAAAATTAATTAATTTTAATCAAACAGTAAAAAGTAAAAGATAAACTAGACTTGTATGTAAAAATAATTATTTGTAAATGTGTAAATGTCAAATATTTTATATAATTTTTAACAAATTTGTAGATTATTTAATTTTATCGACCACAAGCCTTAAACAATCTTTTTAATATTTAAATTAAAATTGTATCTCAGCTTCGCTGGCTACTAAGAGGCTCAGCCTTCCGACTAATACCCTACGTTCATAACACTTTTAGTCGCTGCTCACACGAAATGACGTAAAACTTTTGCAGTGGCAACAAAACACAAACATGTTCCGCATATCAATGGCAACAGCAGCGACTACAACAACAACAACAACAACAACAGCGTGAGCTACAGATACAGATACAGATACAGCAAATTGAAGTTGATTTTGCTGGTGGAATTTCCAATACATTTGCAAATAATAAAAAATAAAAAACGACTACCAAAACTCAGCAGAACTAGCTGGGCTTTCAGTTTCAACTGAAGTTGTTTACGCGCCGTCTCATGCATATGCTAATTGAGATACAGAGGCAGAGATACACATGGCCATAGCCCACAGTCAGCTGTATGTGTAAGTTAATTGAGTGAAGTAATGAGAGAGTGAGACAGCATGAGAGAGGGAGAGTTGGTTTAGCTGGAGCTCTCAGTTTCGAACAGTGTCTAATTTAGTAATTAAACGCAGTTTTGGATGACGGGCAGCGCAATTAATGTGTCTCGCCTGGGCAGCATTTCAATTATTTCGGGCAAATTAAACAGTTAACTGAATTGTCACCACACGCACAAGGACTGAACGAGACAGAGAGAAAGAGAGAGAGAGAGTGAGAGATATGTATGTAGTTAGATAGACATCATTTCGGCCATTCAATCAGCCAAATTTTCGTGTGCCACCCACGCTCCACATATGCTTTGGTGTGCTCAGTTGGACTAATGAATAAATAGCACGACTGTTGACTGCACTCCGTCATAATCATCATCATCATCATCATCATTATCATCATGAGCAGCATCAGCATCGTTCCCATCGTCGTTGTGATTAGCAACATAGTTAAGTGCTAATTCAATTTGCCCTGTGCATTAACACCTAGCTAACGTTTTTGCCCAGCCCTTGTCCGCTTATCCCTACCTCGCACAGGCCCACGTCTTTTGGGGTTCTGAGTCAGTCTAATTATTAACAACTGTCCCAATGACAAATGCATTATTAATGTGCCTTGCAAAGTGCAACGCTTGAGTCCTACTTAAACTTAGTAATTGCTGCCAAGCACGTGACTTACACCGAAGACACGAATTTCTTATGCAAATTATCGTATTGCCCCGGAAATTCTAAGTATTTCATTCCTCATTTGCTTCTAATATGTTTGTGTGTTTCACAAACATCAAGTGATAGCTGTAAAATGTTTATTGCGTCATAAATTGCTGTAGTTCGTTGACGAATGAATTACAATGAAATTAAAAATTAAGTCAGTCGACGAATAGCCTCAAAATAAATGAAGAGCAGCAAGAGTAGTCGACCAATGAGTTACCATGCAATCGGACTCATATAAAATCAGGGGTGTGGCCAACCAAGTAAGCTTTGCAGTGAAATGTTGTTGATCTCCCTTGCAGATAGGGAAATGCATACTTTATGCTTTGCTCATTCTTATTTTAAAAATATATACACATTCATAAAAACATAATCTAGCCATAATAAAAATTCTATTTTCTCTTTAATATTATTAAAAATCTTAATTAGCTTTAATGTTCTTGAAAGTCGGCGAGAAAATATTTCCAAACAATTTTTTAATATATGAAATAGTATATAATAAACATAAGTATGTATGGTATATATTGATATATAATAATGTAATTTTAATTAATTTAATATATAATATAATTATATATAATAATATAATTTGTTATGCATTGCATTTGATAGCTGTAGATTTTCTACCTACAATATTTCTATATGTAATAGGTATATACATACATGTATATAATATACAAACCTAATTACATGTATACATACATATACATGCCAATACCTAGGCGCGCGTGTGTGTAAATTTGATAATGAAGCTAGTTTGTGTTCAACACTTCGTATGCGCAATTTGAGCTAAACGCCTCGCTTAACACACACACACACACACATATATACAGCTTACGTATATAAATATATATTTTGTATTTTTCAAAAAGCTCGTTAGACAGCAGCTCTGAGCACAAAAAAATAGAAGATTCAGTTGTTGTTTGCAGTTATTAACGCGCAGTTATCAGCGATCACATTGAGAATGAAACGAATGATGGGAATGACCCAATTTCTGTGCTTGGCCGCCATTGTTGTGCTCGGCCTCGCACAGCTGGCTCAGGCGGTGACCACGGCCAAGCCCCAGCCGCTGGCACAGGCCCAGCCACAGGCGGCCGGCCCCACTAGCACCACCTCAGCCAGGCCAATTGCCAAGCAGCAGCCAACGCAGCCACAACGCAAACAAGGTAGAGTCTAAATAAAAATTCCTTGATTACTCCTTGATTACTTATGTTTTGAAATTTGTGACAGATGCGAAGTGCCTGCAGCCCCTGGAAACGGGTCCTTGTCGCATGAGCCTGGAGCGCTATTACTACAATAAGGAGAAGAACAGCTGTGAGACATTCAAATACGGCGGCTGCAGGGGCAACGACAATCGCTGGGGCTTCCGACAGACCTGCGAGGAGGCGTGCCTGGTCAAGAAGTGACTCAAGTTCTATGAATCAACAATAGCGTCACAGTCTGTGCATACCAAATAAAAGATCCATCTAACGTTTGTTTATATCATTCGCAACGATCTACTTTGCGGTCAATTACCATACTGAATAAGCTGGCCAAATATCAAATGTATTCTGTGTGAGTAGTTCTCAGTTAGTAAACAAGATGTTCCGCTTGTTGCTTAACTTAGCCAGAAAGCCGTATTTGTGCTTATCGTTAACTGTTCTCATAACAATTAGCGAATTCCGTGAAATATTGTGACAGTGGCTAAAACTGTTTATTTGACTTGAATTTCGCAGTGGAATTGCTGTAATATATTGAGAGACTCTAAAGTTACGGAAGATGAAAAGTTATAGACAGACATAAGAAATAGAAATAATTGGAAATGAGCTTATAGTATAGATGAAATTTTGTTGGAAATGTTGCTTGGCAAGTGACAAAAAATATAGATTATGTATTCAGATTAAATATGAAAACCTTCAATTTATGAGAATCGCAGAGAAGGCATGATTATATGTCTCTCTGGCAGCGTAGTATTAAGTATACAGATTGTATACAGACCAAGGCAGAGACAAGCACATCATGAGTATGTAAATTGTATAAGTAAGAGAAAATTCTGACACAATTAAGTACATATATATATTTATATAAATCGATATCTTCAAGCAGCACCAGCATCAAACAATATTGGTACTGTTGAAACTCCTTTTTATGTCTAACTTGCATTCATGAGAATCACAGAGAAGGCATGATTGTGAATACTACTTCATGCGTCACAATAATCAACTACTACTACCGAAATTCAGTGCCATCTCCTCCATGCCTTACTTGAAGTCATGAGAATCGCCGAGAAGGTATTTATTTACAGAAAATTGCTGGAAGATAACTGGGCTTGCGTTGTAAACACACCTAAATATATAAATGTCGCCTACATGGATATATACACATCTGTACTCATATAAAGATATATACACAATCGTTAATATATGCATGTGCTCTTATCAACGTATGCATATTAATTGAAACAGATGTGTATCTGCATACAAATATGCAAATCATAGATACAGATATAAACAGATGTCAAGTATAGACTATATACATATATAAATGATTCCGGAACTATCATATCGTTATCGACATTTGCTTAGTTTCCTGATTATAATTAATATTTTTGGTATGAAATTCAGTCTAAAGCTATATAAACTGTATAGTAGCAAATATTTGGTATAACAAAAACATACAACCATTTGAACAACACAATGAAAAACTGGGCAAATGATGTGGGTAATCCCTTGATTTTATTTGATGTGAATAGGTAGGGGTTTTTTCATTTATTATTATTATTTTAAGATTCTATAAATACTGCGATATAATATTTGAAACTTACTAATCAATTATGAGTTCATAAGATATTCTAAGTAAAAATAATAAATGCAAATTAAATGCATAAAAAAAAAGCAAAGCTACCAAAAATACTAGTAATAAAATCGCATAAAAATGTATTTAAAATCCCATTAACGACTTTACATAAATACAAAATTTTATATCCGCGATACTGATCGTCACGTCACTTGTGCCGTGACAATTGTTCAAAACACGAAAACAAAGTGCGTCAAAACAAATTGGGGAACTGGCGACAGCTGTGCGGAAGTAGCATATGATTTAGCTGGAGCTGAACTATCATAAAACTCTGAAATATTAATAGGTGCGTTGAACTGCAACTGAGGCAGGTGAGGACGTCAAGAACTGTCAACGAGACACTGTGATTTACATGCCTTGACGAATGACTCGAGCAAATACATAGGCTATGATAACGAAATGAACTACGATTACGTGTTGATTCGTTTCGGCTTTCAGTATTTAAGGCTGGCTAAAAGCCAGAGCTGGCATCATTCGCGGCTAAGAAACTGAAACGAAATGTGCTCAAAGCTCTCAATAATTGCGCTCACTGTGCTCCTGGGCGCCATGTGTGTGCACAGCGCCGTTGTGGATCAGTCTCAGCTGGTGGTGGAGAAACAGGAGCCGGAGGGCCAGACAACGCAGCCACCGGCTGTGGACGAGGCCAGTGTGCCGGAGCAGTGCCACCAGCCCAAGGTGACGGGTCGCTGCTTTGCCCTATTCTATCGCTTCGCCTACAATCTGGATACGCACGCGTGCGAGGAGTTCATCTATGGCGGCTGCGGCGGCAACAGCAACAACTTCAATTCGAAGGCGGAGTGTGAGAAGCTGTGCTTGGGCAAGGCAGAGGCGCCAGCAGAGACACTAGCATCCGCGACTGAGCAAAGCACAGAGCAGACTACGCAGTCACAGCAGTCGGCAGAGACGACAATCAGCACAGTCGCCTAATGGGAAGCACCCGGATAGTGTCTCTACATACATACATATGCATATAGTATATAGGTCTTACACTCTTAGCACTCGTCTAAAATTATAGAAATCACGTCTCCTCTATACCGACCTACCCATATTTGTACAGCTCTAATGAGTATGAGTACTTAGCTCCAGGGCCGGCATCTTCGGTTGGAGGGGACGACAGTATTAAAGTCAAATTTATGGGAAACGCCAAACTCGCAGCTGAAAACAAAAATAGTGATAATAATGAATAAATTGTCTTTATAATTATACATACATATATATACACTAAAATGATTATTTTTGTTGTTAATCTTAGCTACCTCGATCCTCTCCTGCTATTTATTCAATTTTTTTGCAGGCATTTGTTAATGAACCTTAACTTAATTTGTACACATGCCCACACACACGCACACACACAAGCAAACTGATAGCTTCATTGAGCACATATAGCCACAGATTAGTATAAATCAGTGTGAGCTGCCGCCAGCCGAGTTAGTTGTTTGATTGAAGCCCTAAAAACTGTAGAAAATGAAATTCGTATCAGCACTTTGCGTATTCCTCGCTCTATTTGGCCTATCGCTCGCTCTGAAGGATCGTAAGTGGCAGGGAGAAACTGATCCCGGGGAACTCTGCTAATTTTTACTTCCTCCTCCTCCAGCCATTTGCGAACTGCCGCCGGCAACTGACGGCAACGGCCTGATCAAGTGTGCCGCCTTCATGCCCAGCTGGAGCTACTACCCCGAGGACAATGCATGCAAAAACTTTGTCTATGGTGGCTGCGGCGGCAATGCAAATCGTTTCGGATCTCAGGAGCTGTGCGAGTCCACGTGCAAGGAATAGAATTACGTAATGTTGATACACTGAATAAACGATTTGCTGTGTGAAATCATTGTATTCATTGGATTAGTATAAAACATTTAATTAGTTACTCACAACATCTGTAAGCTAAATGTACAGTAATGTGAAGCAGAGTTTCTAGCTCTCCTCGGTCAGTCTGTCGCTCTAACTAATCTCAGTTTGTGTATGTGATTCTTAGCAACACAACCTTGTGCTCGTTCTCCTTACAGACAATGCAATTGTCCTTTTATTATTCTGGGACACTGCAGGTTACGTCAGATAAACTTAATAAGAAGTCATATTTTTCGCTGATTCTTAAAGACTACGAAGAGTGTTCAATACGCCCATTTACTGACTTTACTGATTCCTTAATCCACTTATCCATTTGTCTTGGTTTATGCATCCTCAGTATACATAGTTATACTCTGCAGAAAACCGAGCTAGCTTTTTTGATCGAAAAGCTAAAAACTGTAAAAAAGGAAATTCACGTCCGTACGATTTTTTTTTACTAAAAACAAGGTCCCTAGATAAACCAATATGAGCAAACTTATACTACCTTACCCATCCGGGTATAACGATGGTACCTTGAGCACCGCTATAATCGGATTCTGCGTATATCACATTATCAGTAGGAACTTAGTATTGAGCTACTAGCTGATATCTAACTCTTCTTATGAGGCTATGTACGACTGAAGCAAATGACACTTACTGGGAGCAGAAATATATATACTACCTTATATAATTATGTTTGAGTTTATGTATGCATGAAAACGAATCTAATTTCAAAATGCGTTCATATATTATTCAGTAAAAAGATGAAGCAAACCCGCATCGAATTGATCTTAATAATAATAATTAATAATTGTTTTGTTACGCTATTGGATTTATTTGGTGTATCAACTTTTGGTTTAAGTAAATCTACTCCTTGCACTTTGCCTCGCACTGTTCCTGAGTCTCGAATCGATTTGAATTGCCGCCGCAGCCACCGTAGTTGAACTCCTTGCATGCATTGTCTGTAGCGTAGTAGGACCAGCTGGGAAGTATAGCAAAGCATCTCATCAAGCCGATGCCATCACTGGCTGGCGGTAGACCACAAATGTCTGAGCACAGAGCACAAAGAGAAAGTTTCTTGCAAAAGTGGGAAATTCGGGATCAGTTATTTAGACTTACCATCCTTAAGAGCGATGGAAGCGCCGAAGAGAGCGATGAATACGCAAAGTACTCCTACAAGTTTCATTCTGTATATTTTCTTAGAGCTTTCGTTGATTGACTAGCTCAACTTGCAGCTGAACGCAATGATTTATAGCAAACACTGGCTATATGTACTCAATAAAGCTTATCAGTAGTTTTGTCTATGTACGTGTGCTTGAGAGTAAATCCAGTTGAAATAGATTTTTCAATGCCTTCGAAACATATTCAACAAGTGAGCGAAATCCAATAGGAATAGGAATTCAAATCATTCGGTGGAGTAAACCAGTTTTACACTTCGATTTACCCTCATTTTGAGGAATCGCGTACGCGTGTTTAGTCCCTTCTTAAGAACAGTAAAAAGAACAAAATGTGCAGAATTTTTGCACTTGTTCGGCTCTGTGTGTTAATATTTCGAGATGTGCTATCAATCAATGTAAAGTTATTAATTAGTTCAATTTATTAGATTAGTCATAAAAAAACATGTTAGCAGAACATGTTTTCATTGATTTTGAATTTGTTGGCTGTGGTTGGCCTTTCTGGAGAATTGCCCATATATGTATAAGAACAAAACCTTTGATCAAAACTATTTTACAATGTATCTATTGTATAAAACATTTATTCATATACCAAACAAGATCGAATTGAATTCAAGACAATTATTCTGAACTTCGTTTAATATGGTTTAATTTTTGATCACTCTTTTTTGTTAGGGGCACTGACGCCTCGCACTTTTATTCAGTTTTGGGAAAGGCAACCATATATGCAGTCATCCCTACTTGAGAAACCGCCCTCAATGAATCCGCAGCCACTGTAGATATATGTATAACATTCAATCTTCATCATCGGGGTCGAACATCATTTAGGAAAGTCCATTTTGCATAATGAAACCTCAGTGAGATTTTTTGGAGGCTTCCTTTTACACATCACCTCTGTCTCAGCTGGAAGAAGACCTACAGCGAAGGTCACGCTACGTGGATTAAGAAATCAGTAATGTCAGTAAATGGGCGGTGCAAAACAGGAGCGAATTAAATTGTAGAAACTTATTATGAATTGCGTTTGACATGGTTAATGTTTTGTCACGCTTTTAAGGGTCATAGATATTTCCCAGCTTCATTTATCAGAGGTATTTCTCTATATAGTCCAGGACCGAATTTCATTTTTTACGGTTTTTATGATCATATATTTATTTAGTGTATCAACTTTCGGCTTAAGTAAATCTATTAAATACTTAAAGTGAATATAAAAAATCAATGTGATATGCAAGTATATGAACTACTGAGAAATTACAATACGACGCTTAAAGGTGTTCGAAGAGTTCAGGATGCAACGTGGCATATATAGAATTTGTTTAGCTACGCTTACCAAACCTCTATTTCACACAAATTAGTTTAGGTATTCCACACGACCACATGAAAAATCGCTGCAGTACTTTTCTACTTTGTCTATTCATCGCTTGTGTAAGCATTTCTCCAAGCTTTGGGAATGATCATCGTACGGTCCAAGCACCACCACTTTCCCAGAATCAAATATTGCTGAATATGCCTCAGATGTCTATGCGAAAATACTTTAATTGCAATTCAAATATATGATTAAGAACTTTTTCAGAAATTATCATTTCAAATCTTTAAATATATATTATGTATGTATGTATAATTCCGAATTCCCACAGCGTAAACTTAACAAGCTGATTAATAAATAAAACACAATATCAGTAGCTCAGTTCTGGGAACTGAATTTGTTTGTCAACAGCTCGGGGAATTCCTGAACGGATTCCAAGACATTGAAATCGCTGCTGCGGCCATAGAAAAGTAAATACAAAATAAATTAACAATTGCAGCAACAATTTCTAGACTTCATTCATAATGGGAGCATACATACTAATAAATTGAGCCTATTGCAAATTACACTTCAGGGTATATTGGTTTTGGACAGAAACGGATGTTACCATAAGATTTTATGTGCCCGTATCATTACTAAGCTTTTTATAAAGAAGAAGAAGAAACAAATCAGTGATGGAATTGTTAATCACATAAGCAGATGTATTTCGATGTCGCCTAGATTATTAGCAAACAATAGCTCGCAATCGGTCATTCCCCACGCTGAATTGCTCAAATTTGATTTCGTTCAGCGCATTCGATCGGCTATAAAAAAATATTTTTCTTTTTGAACAGTTTTCAGCTGTTATGAAAAAAATGTTCCATTTTCTTAGCCAGACCTGATAGCGAACTGCTGCTTTGTACTTTTCATATACTCTACCAAGGGGTATTGGAGCTTTGTCATAAGAATTGAAAAAAAAAAAAACTCCTTAGTTTCCTATAAAAACTCAAAAACTTATAATCATTAAATGTTAATAATAATGATATGATGGTTCAGATTCCGAAAAATTTCAAAAATTTTTCCCAAGTGACTATGTTGTTTTTCTTTTCATGTCTGCTGTAGCACAGCTATGGATAGAGTATATAACTGTGCTACTGAATTAAGTTCAGTCCAGAAAAATATATAAACATTAGGTGCAGGCTCGAGCTGGAGTCAGTTTAGTCCAAATCTATCGCTGGATATACAAAGTTAACTTGTCAGCCAGAAAACTAACACAAAATTCTAATAAAAATGAAGTTATTTTTATTACTGCTTGTGATTTGTGCAGCTCATCAGGTGATCTGCTCGAACCCAAAAAATCGTATGTTACCAAAATGTGAAATACCGATTGGAATTCAATTTGCCAATTTGCCGATTTGTTGCTTTTAGCGGTATGCGAACTAGCCCATTCATTCAATGTCGATGTTTATACTTCCTGCCTGAATAGTGCGCGCCGTTGGACCTACAATGCCGCAACCAATGCTTGCATTAAGTTCACATATTTGGGCTGTGGAGGAAACGCCAACAATTTCCTGACCAAATCGCAGTGCTTACGGCAGTGTGTGAAAAAATAGTGAAAAATTTGATATTTATACTTCCGTTTTATTGATCTATGCAAAACAATCCAATCATATATAAAGCATATTTAGAATACACTCTATTGTGGAACATGAAATTATAGGGTGTACAGGTTTCGTGTAATTGTAAATCGTGTTCTAATTGATGATTTCATTTTGATAATTAGTATTTATTATTTTATTAACCATTTCATTATTCTTATCAATTTATACTAAATTACAAATAATAAATGAATCGTGCTTTGTTTAGGAATCGTTGTTTTATTGTAAATATTCTGGCATCAAAGTCTCAATCAAATGCAATTTCAGAAATAAGGTCATCCAGCTCTATTTAATATCATTTCAATAGCTGAGAATATCTTCATCATCAGACGTCGTACTGAATATTAAGAAATCTCAGTTTTCTATTCAGTTGTTTTCCTAATCGAATGCATTTGTCATACAATTATCAACCAATACAAATCATTTCAGCGGTACATTCTAAAATGTATGGAAAAAGCTGGCTTGACTGGCTTGAAGTTTAGTTTAAATTTGCAACCAGCTGTATTCGGTTCAACATGAAGTTTCTGGTGTCGTTCGTAGTGCTCGTTGTCTCCATTAGCAGCTGTTTTGCGCTCAAAGATGGTAAAACTCTATTTAAGGATTTCAATAATCATAAACTTATATATTTATTTATTTATTTTTTTTTTTAGAAGTTTGCGGTTTGCAACATTCAGTTCAAGGTATTTGTCATGCCTACATGCCAAGGTGGAGCTACAATATAGCAACTAATGAATGTGTGTATTTCATCTATGGCGGCTGCCGGGGCAATGCCAATCGCTTTGACACCAAAGAACTTTGTGAGGAAAAGTGCTTGGAATAAA